GGGGAGAGGGGGCGCGCGCGCGCGCGTGTGTGCCGCGGCGGCGGGGGGTTGGGGGTGCGCGCGCGTGTGTGTGCCGCGCGGGGGGGGGGGGGTGAGGGGCCATGTGTGTGCGCGCGCCATGGAGTTTGCGCCAGTGCGCATGCTCAGTTGTTTTGCCGTTTTTTGTGGTTGTTGTTGTGTGCTTTTCATTTCTGAGTGGCTTAGTTTGTACCTTGTTGGTTGCCCTTGGGGCATGGGAAGTTTGGTGGAGTTCTGTGGAGGGGTTTTGGAGTTTTGTTTCCTCATACGACGCCAGGAGGAAATTTATATATATAGATATTGTACTATACCATTATATTGCAATGTTGTTAGTAATATTACATGTAATATAAAATATATAATTATAATATTGCATCATTATTAGTAGTATTATATTGTATTACATTATATTATAAATATTATATGTATATACAAAATATTATATTATATGTTTTAATTGTTTTATAATTTGATGTTATATTTATTGTTGTGTGTAGGTTGCGGCACTGAATTGTTGCCATAATCTGTAAGCCGCTCTGAGTCCCCTTCGGGGTGAGAAGAGCAGGGTGTATAAATGTATACACATAATAAAAGTGAAAAAATATGCATGTATGCTGGGGTGTCCACTTACACAGACAAACTCCTGCCTCCACAAACAAACACTCCAAACACTCAGGAGCCACCAATGGCCCTCCCTCCAATCACATTGCAGGTTATAGGGAGCACCATAAACATGGCCAAGAGCCCTACCAATGTCCTCCACAAACACCACACTGCCCACCACTCAGGTGAAGGCTTTCATACAGGGACAATTCCATCCTAGATTTTATGGGTTCCCTCCACCACAGACATCCCAGTGTTTCTTACTCTCTCAATTGGTGTGGAATTTGCATGACCCCGCCCACTGCCTCTCCCTTAACCCTTTCCTATTCTTCTCTATGACACACAGCAGACAGAGAAATTGATCAGCAATTGGGGAGAATTCATCATTATTATTATTATTATTATTAAAATCTATTATTATATTAAATTGTATTATTATTATTATTATTATTATTAAAATATGTTATTATCAAAATATTATTATTGAAAATTATTGTTATTAATATTCTATTTTATTATTATTAAAATGTATTATTAACTATTATTATTATTGAAACTTATTATATTGTAAATATTAAATCGTAGTATCATTATTAAAATCTATTATTATTATTGAAAATCTTTGTTATTATTCAATTTTGTTATTACTGAAATGTATTAACTATTATTATTATTATATTGTAAATATTAAATTGTAGTGTTATTATTAAAATCGATTATTATTATTCAAAGTTATTGCTATTATTATTCCACTGTATTATTTTTATTGAAATTATTGAAATGTATTATTATAAACAATTATGACATAAATTTATTATTATTATATTGTAAATATTAAATTGTAGTATCATTATTAAAATCTATTATTATTATTATTATTATTATTGAAAGTTATTGCTGTTATGATTCCATTTTATTATTATTATTGAAATTATTGAAATGTACTATCATTAACAATTATTGTGATGACAGAAATTTATTATTATTATATTGTAAATATTAAATTGTATCATTATTAAAATCTATTATTATTGAAAGTTATTACTATTCAATTTTATTGTTATTATTGAAATGTATTATTAACTATTATTATTATTGAAATTTATTATTATTCTATTGTAAATATTAAATTGTAATGTCATTACTAAAATCTATTATTATTATTGAAAGTTATTGCTATTATTACTATTATTATTCCATTTTATCATTATTATTGAAATTATTGAAATGTATTATTATAAACAATTATTATGACAGAAATATTATTATTATTCTATTGTAAATATTAAATTGTAGTATCATTATTAAAATCTGTTATCATTGAAAGTTATTGTTATTCAATTTTATTATAACTGAAATGTATTCTTAACTATTATTATTATTATTATTATTGAAATTTATTATTACACTGTAAATATTAAATTCTAGTATTAGTACTATAATAATAATATTGTTATTATTATTGAAAGTTATTCTTATTATTTAATTTTATTGTATTAGTACTTTAATAATATCTATTACTGAAAGTTATTGTTATTATTCAATTTTATTGTTATTATTGAAATGTATTATTATTATTATTATTATTATTATTATTATTAACTTTATTTGTACCCCGCTAGCATCTCCCGAAGGACTCGATGCGGCTTACACGGGCCGAAGCCTCAAAACACAATACAATAGAAAAACATAACACAACAATAAACAAAGCAAATCAAAACAGTTAAGCAAAATAACAACAATGACAATACATCAATACATCAAGACACTATTAAAACTGGTTCGGCCGGCGCAATGGGGTACAGCAGTGGTTCTCAACCTGGGGTCCCCAGATGTTTTTGGCCTACAACTCCCAGAAATCCCAGCCAGTTGACCAGCTGTTAGGATTTCTGGGAGTTGAAGGCCAAAAACATCTGGGGACCCCAGGTTGAGAACCACTGGTACAGGGTTAAAAGTGCTGAGATGGCAGGAGGAACGTAGGATTAAAAGTGCGGTGTGCAGCAACATTGGTTGTGCTAAAGTGCTTCTAGGACTTGGGATGGGGGATTCCTAATCTGCGAAGGCACATCGGAACAGCCAAGTTTTTAGGTTCCTTCTGAAAACTGCTAGAGTAGGGGCCTGACGAAGCTCTTTTGGAAGGGCATTCCAAAGTCGGGGGGCCGCCACAGAGAAAGCCCTGTCCCGTGTCCCCACCAAGCGCGCTTGCGACGTAGGTGGGATCACGAGCAGGGCCTCCCCAGATGACCGGAGCGAGCGTGTGGGTTCGTAGATGGAGATGCGGTCACGCAGGTAGGGTGGTCCCAAACCGTTCAGGGCTTTGTAGGTGAGCACCTGCACCTTGAATTGGGCTCGGAAAATAAATGGCAGCCAGTGGAGCTCCTTAAACAGAGGGGTAGACCTCTCTTGATAATGAGCTCCAGTTAGCATCCTAGCTGCTGCCCGCTGGAACAATTGAAGTTTCCGAGCCGTCTTAATATTTATTATTATAAATTATAATTTATTAATTATTATTAAGTATTAAATTGTAGTGTCATTATTAAACTCTATTATTATTATTATTATTATTATTGAAAGTTATTGCTATTATGATTCCATTTTATTATTAGTATTGAAATTATGGAAATGTACTATCATTAACTATACGGGAGATTTAACAGCATCCCTTATAATGAACGGAGTTGTATCTGCGGGGCACCTGAAATTGAGGATATGGCACACATATTGTTTGATTGCAAATTGTATCAAAAGGTGAGAGACTTCCACCTTGGTCCATATGTCAAACGGACAATGTATTGGGATTCTCACATCAGAACAACATATTTTATGTGTGGCCAAGACCCAAAAATAACATATAAAACAGCTCTGTACTTAAGCAAAACAATACGTCTGAGAACCACATATGTAGGGCTGATTGGGGTAAATTGTAGGGGTGATAATGAAATATGATGTATATACTCAGCTTGATCAGTTTATTAGTTTTATCATGTCTTATCATATTTATTTATTTATTTATTTTATTTATTTACTTTGCTTATATACCGCTGTATCTCAAGCCCGAAGGCGACTCACAGCGGTTCACAAACAGTAAAAACAGTAGAAACAGCAGTGGTTCCATACAACATATAACAATTGACTTAACACATTATCCATAAATTACCAATAAGCAATTACAATGCACAATTATTACGAAAAACAACCGTACCCAATCTTCTCATCATCCAAGCGTAGTCCAGGTTCGTCGTCCATTGTTCCATTCCTATGTTCCATTACCAGATTGCACTAAATTACTCAAACGCCTGCACAAACATCCAGGTCTTCACCTTTTTGCGGAATACCATTAGAGATGGTGCTAGTCTAATGTCCGTAGGAAGGGCGTTCCACAGCCGAGGAGCCACCACCGAGAAGGCCCTATCTCTCGTCCCCACCAGCCGAGCTTGAGAAGCAGGTGGGATCGAGAGCAGGGTCTCCCCGGAAGATCTCAAAGTCCTGGTGGGTTCATAGGCAGAGATGCGGTCAGATAGGTAGCTTGGGCCGGAACCGTTTAGGGCTTTAAAGGCCAACGCCAGCACTTTGAATTCAACCCGGTAGCAGATCGGTAGCCAGTGGAGTTGGCGCAACAGGGGGGTTGTATGCTCCCTGCGCTCCGCTCCTGTTAAAATCATGGCTGCCGAGCGTTGGACTAGTTGGAGCTTCCGAGCTGTCTTCAAAGGCAACCCCACGTAGAGAGCGTTGCAGTAGTCTAAACGGGATGTAACCAGAGCGTGGACTACCGTGGCCAAGTCAGACTTCCCAAGGTACGGGCGCAGCTGGCGCACAAGCTTTAGCTGTGCAAATGCTCCCCTGTTCACCGCCGAAACCTGGGGTTCCAGGCTCAGCGATGAGTCCAGGGTCACACCCAAACTGCGAACCTGTCAGTTTATCAGTTTTATCATGTCTTATCATATGTATTTACTGTATTATTATAAGTGTCTTATTTTAACTTTCTACGTGGAGTGTGATCAGGTCTTGTCAGGCCTTGTTGCTCTGTTTCTTATTGTGATATGGCCTAAGGGCTAATCAATAAAAATTACTACTTGTCTACTATCATTAACAATTATTATGATGACAGAAATTTATTATTATTGTATTGTAAATATTAATTTGTAGTATTATTATTAAAATCTATTATTATTATTGAAATTTATTATTGTTATTTTGTAAATATTAAACTATAGTATTGGTATTAAAATCTATTATTGTTCCTGAAAGTTATTATTTCATTTTATTGTTATTATTGAAATGTATTATTATTATTATTATTAGCTAGTATATTTGATTATTATTATTATTGAAATGTATTATTATGATCCATCTGAGATGATGGTGTGTGTCCTTCTTACCCAGACGCAGAGGCTGTCGGAGAGGAGGAAGGCGGCCACGTCGAGGGCGGAGGGGCCCGGTGTCTCTGCGGAGGCCTCTTGGCGCCGCGGCCTTTCCTGCTCCTCGCGCCCGCCTTCCCCGCCGCCTGGCCCGGCCTCGCCGGCCTGGAGGGCGCGGTAGGCGCTGAGGGCGCTGCCCAGGAGGGCCAAGGCGCTGAGGGCGGCGTAGCTGCGCAGGCTGGGCCACGGGAAGCGCTCCAGGAACAGCAGCGGCATGGCTGGCGGGCCAAGAGGGAGGAAGGCTGTGAGGGAGGAAGGAGGCCTGTTGGGCCTGGTCAGCCCCGCGCTCGCCTCCCCACGCCCTCCGCCCGCTCGGCTGGCCAACCACGAGCGCCGCCCCCGGAGAGACAGAGACAGAGGAGGAGGAGGAGGAGGAATGCGGCCTTGTGACGGGGAAGCGCCGCCGCTGACGAGAAGGAAGGGAGGAGGAGAAGGGAAGGAATTAGAAAGGGAGGAAGGAGGATTAAGGAAGGAAGGAAGGAAAGAAAGGGAAAGGAGAGGAAAGCTGGAAGGAACAGAAAGGGAAGAACGAAGGAAGCAGGATGAGGGAAGGAAGGAATAGAAAGGAAAAAAGAAGGAAGGAAGGAAGGAGTTTTGTGACTAGAAAGGCGCGAACGAAAGGGAAGAATTTGGAAGGAAGCCAGTATTATGGAATTGTAAAGGAAGAAGGAGGAACGGAGAGAAATGAAGTAATGAGTTAGGAGATCTGGGATTGCGTGGAGGTATAGGAAAGGATGTAGCCTCATATAAAAGGACACAGAATAGCAGTAGCATGATTCTGAGGGTATTGTCACTATGCGCTATGAAATGTGAAAGTCAAGAAGTATGTAAGGAATTGGGCGTATTGGGCAATGTGGAAGGGAAGATAGTGATGGTGATTAAGACAGAAGTTGACACGAACGACAGGAACGCAGGCGTTAGTGGAAGGACAGGTAATGAGCAGAGATGGAATATGAATCAAGGCGAAGGTGATGATTTGGGGGACTAATTGCATGAATGCGCCGTGGGAACTAGCTGATGGCAAGTGTGGCACTGGAATGTTACAAGTCTGGAAAGAAGGCTTGATTGGCACGATAGATGATTTAAGTCGGCTTGAACACAATTGTTCAACAAGAAAGTGGAGAGTCGACGCTCATAATAATGCTGTTAATGGAAGTAATGGAGAAATTACAGTAAAGAAGTAAATTAAAATGAGGAAGGAGGATTAGGGGGAAGAAGAAGGGAAGGCAAGAGGAAGGAACATCAAGGGAAGGAACAAAGGACTCATGGGATTATGGAAGAAGGAGAATACAAATTGAAGGAGGAAGTAGGATGGTTGACAATTGAGGACGGAACAGACAGAGAAAGAAGATAAGGATGATTATGTGTAGGTATAGGTAAAGGAAATGAACAGCGAGCTGACAAGAAAGTGACTATAGCGGTTTGTGTGTGAGAATTAAGGTAGGTATTAAAGTGTGCAGGACTAAATGCGAAGGAAGTGAAGATGATAGTGGAGTAGATTGTATACTGTAAGTCAAAAGATAGTAATGTAAGGCAAGGGAAGGCAGGAGTAGGGAGAAATGAGGTAAGATTATGGAGAAGTGGCAGGAAAGGAAGAATGAGGAGATTAGGAAGGAAAGGGAAGGAAGTGAGAATTAGTAATGAGGGAAAGTAAAGAACAGAATGTAGTATGATTATGGAAGTAGGATACGACATATTGCAGGATCGTGAGGAAAGGACGAAAATACAGGGGGCCGGAGGATAAAGGAATAAATGGGAAAGGGAGAGGTCAGGATGGAGGAGTGATTGGAGAAGGACGAAAGGAAGAAAGATGATTAGTAAGTTCGTAAACGCGGATTTAGGTAATGAAAGGAACAAAAGGCAGAAAAGATTAATTTTTAAAATTAAGCCAAGCGTTAAATTAACGAAGAGTAGGATTGATTGATCTAGGTACTTTTGAAGCAAAGTAGTGGGAAATATTAAAAGTGAATAGTGATGATGAGTGCTTGACGTGTATTTAGGGAATGGGCAGTGTATTATAGGTGGCAAGAATAAAGAATGGGACAAGTGGAAGGAAAGTGTGATAGACTTTATGTGGGTATTATGGAGCGGTGTGGCATGTATACTTATGTGCTATGGTAGGTATTGTAAAGGTTCAATGAGGGATTCTTAGAATCACACTGGAGAAATTACACGTTCTAGCCGGTATCACACCACCTGACATCCGCCGGGAAGTAGCAGCCAATAGTAAAAGGACCAAGGCAGAGACATCTCCAGCTCATTCCTTGTTTGTGTATCAGCCAGCACGTCAACGGCTTAAATCAAGAAATAGTTTTCTAAGATCTACAGAGACACTCGCTGGAACGCCTCAACAAGCGAGAGTCCAAAAGTGGCAGGTTCAAACGCAGAAACCTCAATCGGAATTTAATTAAATTGCTATTACTATTATTATTTTATCCTGCTTTTCTTCCAATGGGTGGGATTCAAAGTGGCATAATTTTGAATGTGTCCACTTGAGGTTGGGTGACCGGGACAGAATAGGGATTCTGTTAGTGTACCGCCCACCTCGCTGCACTACAGTCTCCTTACCTGAGCTAGCGGGGGTGGTCTCAGGCCTGGCATTGGAATCCCAGCGGCTCCTTGTGCTGGGGGACTTCAATGTCCATGCCGAGGCGGCCCTTTCAGGAGCGGCTCAGGACTTCATGTCTGCCATGGCAACCATGGGGCTGTCCCAGCAAGTATCTGGCCCCACTCATAGTGCAGGACATACATTGGACTTGGTTTTCTGCCAGGGATGGGAGGAAGGTGGGGTCGAGGAGCTGACCATCTCTCCGTTGCCATGGACCGACCACTTCCTGGTCAGATTTAGGCTCACTGCGCCCCCTAACCTCTGCAGAGGTGGAGGACCCATTAAGTTGGTCCGCCCCAGGAGGCTTATGGATCCGGATGGATTCCTGACGGCTCTTGGGGGATTTCCCGCCACCTCGGTAGGTGATCCTGTCGAGGCCCTGGTCGCTCTCTGGAATGGGGAGATGACTAGGGCAATTGACATGATCGCTCCGGCACGTCCCCTCTCAAGTAGCCGAGCTAAACCAGCCCCTTGGTTTACTGAGGAGCTGGCAGTGATGAAGCGAAGGAAGAGGGAACTAGAGAGCGTGTGGCGTTCGGATCCGAGTGAGCCAAATCGAACACGGTTTGTGTCCTTTTTAAGGGCATATGCCGCGGCAATAAAAGCCGCAAAGAAGGCCTTCTTTGCGGCCACTATTGCGTCTGCAAAGAACCGTCCGGCTGAGCTGTTCCGAATTGTCAGAGGCCTTTTAAATCCCACCACTCAAGGTGGGAACCCTGACGATTCGACTTCTCGCTGTGAAGCTTTTGCTCAGTTCTTTGCAGACAAAGTCGCTTTGATCCGTTCTGGTCTGGATACCATGTTAATGGCAGTCTCTGAGGATGTAACACGAGCACCTGCTTGTCCAGTTTTGATGGATTCATTTCAATTGGTGAAACCCGAGGATGTGGACAAGATACTTGGAGGAATGAGGCCAACCACATGCATCCTGGACCCCTGCCCATCCTGGCTTCTAAAGAGGCCAGAGGGGGATTGGCTGAGTGGGTAACGGTGGTGGTTAATGCCTCCCTTCGGGAAGGCACGATTCCAGCGAGCCTAAAACAGGCTATTATAAAGCCGCTGTTGAAGAAACCATCACTGGACCCCACTAAATTTGACAACTTTCGGCCTGTTTCCAATCTCCCCTTCTTGGGCAAAGTCATGGAACGTGTGGTGGCCTCACAACTCCAGGCATTCTTGGTAGACACGGATTATCTGGACCCGGCACAGTCTGGCTTTAGGCCGGGGCATGGTACCGAGACAGCCTTGGTCGCCTTAGTGGATGATCTGCGCCGGGAGCTCGACAGGGGGAGTGTGTCCCTGTTGGTGCTGCTGGACCTCTCAGCGGTCTTCGATACCGTCGACCACGGTATCCTTCTGGGACGCCTCGCGGGAATGGGTCTTGGAGGAACTGTTTTACAGTGGCTCCGCTCATTCCTGGAGGGTCGATCTCAGAAGGTGTTGTTGGGGGACACCTGTTCAACCCCACAACCATTGTCTTGTGGGGTTCCTCAGGGCTCAATATTGTCTCCCATGTTGTTTAACATCTACATGAAGCCGCTGGGGAGATCATCCGGAGTTTCGGGGTACGGTGTCATCTGTACGCGGATGATGTCCAACTCTGTCCCTCCTTTCCACCTGCTACTAAGGAGGCTGTCCAGGTCCTGAACCGGTGCTTGGCCGCTGTGACGGTCTGGATGAGGGCGAACAAATTGAAATTGAATCCAGACAAGACAGAGGTACTCCTGGTCAGTCGCAAGGCCGAACAGGGCATAGGGTTACAGCCTGTGTTGGATGGGGCCGCACTCCCCCTGAAGACGCAGGTTTGCAGCTTGGGTGTGACCCTGGACTCATTGCTGAGCCTGGAACCCCAGGTTTCGGCGGTGACCAGGGGAGCATTTGCACAGCTAAAGCTTGTGCGCCAGCTGCGCCCGTACCTTGGGAAGTCTGACTTGGCCACGGTAGTCCACGCTCTGGTTACATCCCGTTTAGACTACTGCAACGCTCTCTACGTGGGGTTGCCTTTGAAGAGCTCGGAAGCTCCAACTAGTCCAACGCTCGGCAGCCATGATTTTAACAGGAGCGGAGCGCAGGGAGCATACAACCCCCCTGTTGCGCCAACTCCACTGGCTACCGATCTGCTACCGGGCTGAATTCAAAGTGCTGCCGTTGGCCTTTAAAGCCCTAAACGGTTCCGGCCCAAGCTACCTATCTGACCGCATCTCTGCCTATGAACCCACCAGGACTTTGAGATCTTCCGGGGAGGCCCTGCTCTCGATCCCGCCTGCTTCTCAAGCACGGCTGGCGGGGACGAGAGATAGGGCCTTCTCGGTGGTGGCTCCTCGGCTGTGGAACGCCCTTCCTACGGACATTAGACTAGCACCATCTCTAATTGTATTCCGCAAAAAGGTGAAGACCTGGATGTTTGTGCAGGCGTTTGAGTAATTTAGTGCAATCTGGTAATGGAACATAGGAATGGAACAATGGACGACGAACCTGGACTACGCTTGGATGATGAGAAGATTGGGTACGGTTGTTTTTTGTAATAATTGTGCATTGTAATTGCTTATTGGTAATTTATGGATAATGTGTTAAGTCAATTGTTATATGTTGTATGGAACCACTGCTGTTTCTACTGTTTTTACTGTTTGTGAACCGCTGTGAGTCGCCTTCGGGCTTGAGATACAGCGGTATATAAGCAAAGTAAATAAATAATAAAGTAAATGTAATTTAGTTAATAGAT